AAAGAAAGTATATTTATGACTGTTTACGGCATTTAGAGAAACACCCAAAATCAATTTCCAGTATAAAAAGTTTCCACAGCAATGCGTATGAATAATAGCTTTACTAACGACACGGGTATATATAATGATTGTTGGCGTATCGTTGGAATTTTATAGGTTCTGTCCATGTTTTAATTAATATTTTGAGATTTTGAGCTACCATCAACCAGTCTGCCGCGACAATACCACGTTTTTTTCTCAGATATAAAATTCTCCGTACTCTAGCAATATTACAAGTTGATATAGGTTGAGGCTCTGATCTGAGATTTGTGTAATTCATCTTCATTCCAAGAAGACAGTTGAAAACCCACTCAAATGCTGCAGTGTAATTGCCATTACATATACGTTATTGAGATTTAATTTAATTTGATTCAGTTGGTAGCAGAAAGATCAAACCTAATTACTGCCTGAAATGTTAATTTCTTTATTTCACGAATATACTATTTCAATGTATCTTATCGTAAAATGGTGCGTGTCTGACGATGATTCCTTTGCAGTGTCTTCTTACTCGTCAAGGCCGGGCACATATCGTTTAATTTCGCGGGAAAAAAACAGACCATCCTGAATGAACGACTATAATCAGCTTGATGCAGCTCTACAGTTCACTTTAAGCGTCTGGGAAGACCAGATTAATGTCACAGTGTTAGACAGGCGGATATCGTGTATTGTACAAGGAAATCCCACGTGCACGTTAGCGTATGTAACTCATCAATTATAGCTGCCTACGTCAGTTCCGGAATACATTAATCGCCGCAACGCCGCTCTTGGTATTTTTCAGTGAAATGTAAATTAGACTCACTTCAAATAATGTTTTGAAACACTTGTGAGTTTTAATAACACTTCGAGACAGGAATTTGCTGAAAATTATCCTTCGTTTTGGGGCACGCAGACTAGTTTTCAACTTGGGATCACCTTGTACGAGCGCAGTACAAGATTGCATATAAATTATCAATATCCAATATTTGTCCACATGTAAGATTTGTTTGAACAAAAAAAACATTACCGTGGCGAATAGTCCTGGTCTCTTTCATCACATATAAACTTGTTTACGCGTGTCATTTGCTTGTCAGTGTCACGTGACCGACTCCCGTCGACTTCTTTCTTCGCATGCGTACCACTACACACTTAGTTTTTTCTCAAAATGTATTATAATTTAAAGGGCGGTGGTTGTCGCGCAGCGCGCGTTCGAATTTCATGTAAATAAACAATGTATTTTACATACGTTGTATACGTCGATATTAGTCCCATATTGAACAGGACGCGGCGCGACAACCACTGCCCTTTAAATATCCACTATCCACCGAGAACTCGATACGGTAGAATACAATGTGAAAGGCATTGTCATTTGTTATCACTTGACTAATTTTCCGAATACTACACCACCGGAGATGCTGTGTTTGCCAAATGAATTAATTCAACAACACCATTTAAACAGGCACGCCGATGCCTAACAGCCAATGGAACAGCTTTCCTGTTAAATGAACATTTTTATTCACAAAATAAGACCAAAGTGCTCAATGTTTTCATCTTAACAAAGTGCAGGTCACTGCGACCGCCCGAAAACTTTAGCACAGTGGGAACTTTACTTGAAAGTACTTCAAAGAGATAGACACCTTCTCCCTGCGTATTTTAGAATGACGTCGTCACTTACATCGGTGACCTATATTTCTTTACAACTGCAGTTGAAAGAGACATGAATTACATTTTGATCGAAACCACACGAAAGTACCGTGACTCACGGGTATTATTATAAGCACGTTTGATGTGATTTTCTGATTTTGGAAAAGGCAATTAAACAAATTAAAACGAGATCATGTAATCTCTCACGCACCGTATAGTAGTCAATTACCGACTTGTGGGCAGTTACATGTGCTTTCAAATTTGTCACCGATGTCAGTGATGACGTCATGCTAACTCACAAAGGTAAATATTTAGGAAAATGGACAATGTTCCAGAGATAGGCCATGAACCCATCTGGGAGAAGGGTGAACCAATGACTGATAGTATCAATAGGACAGAACTTTAATATCTTACGCTGTAGAATCCCCATCCAAATAAATGAATACACGAATGAGTAAACAGCTTGTTTAACGATCATGCTTTGGAGTGTGAAGGTTTTTCATTTTCCAGACACGGTTTTCAAGATGATCATGTATTTTGGGTCTAACTACCATCATGGTAATGCGTACTAGCTATCGCATTGTTTGTAGTAACGTCTACAGCTACAGATGTATGTGTTTTTTTTCTGTTCGTAAGAATGATTCATGGTTGCGGGCTGATATGCTCGATTGCAGTACATCGTCGCTGTGCTACCATGACTCCGACGGTCACGTATCAACGACAAACCGTATGCTTGTATCCGCTACGTTTCAAACAATTATAATTTAATACTGCACATAAAAATGGAACACAGAGCAGTCGGTCGACTTGAATGGATAACTAGTAGTCCTACCAAACCCATGAAACAGAACACCACAATATTTATAAAGTGTACCCTTGCCCTACATAGTAATAATAATAACTCCATTGAGATCTGGACTTACATACAATAAAGATTAAATGATACAGAAAATCTATATATAAAATACAAAAATGGATAAAAGTATAACGGAAAAAGAAAAGAAAAAATAACAGTGAAAAAAGTCTTTTACAAAGTACGTGCCGGTAAGTTATTGCGGGTGCCCACTCAGGTACTCAATTCGGCACTATTTCATGTAATGCTTACTCGGTTATCCACGACCAAAACAACGTGTTTGGTATTCTGCGACTCGTGTGTATATCAACTTTCAGTGAAAAAAAAACATGATGATGTCGCGTGGTTACAGTGCGACAGTCCCCGGGCCGTCACGCGTCGTGTTCGTTATGGGTCCCATGCTACGTATAGAACGCGTGTAACATGCACTGTTTACATCGAACACGCACTGGACAACGACTGTAGTGCTTTAATCTATCTTATAGTTTTTGACGAGTCTGTCCAGAGTGGGGACATAATTCAAACTGCAAACTGTGACATGCCGCGTGCGGACCTCTTCGAATATAAAAAAAACAACAATTAATTGTGTTGATGTCAATTATAGCAAACACAAACTGAGAATCTAAAACTATTGAAACAATACATGCTAACACATTTTTTTTAATGACATATGTTCTCCATCTTTTAGCCACAATGGTGCAGCTTTATCTCTTACTCAACCTGGTCGCCATGGTAACAGTCTCCACATCAGTGCACAACACCCACCACGTGAATACCATCGCGTTGTTTCCAGAGAGAACGGCCTGGTGTGAGGCACAGGAAATTGAACAGATAATTGGTCACGACCAGTGCACATCCAAACCTATAAGCAACCGCGTGTGTGTCGGCCAGTGTTTCAGCTACCGTATACCGCGGACAGTGCCCCCAACGCCAAATAAAGAAGATCTTCACTACTGTGACTGCTGCAGACCTTCCGTTGTCACGTGGGAAAAGGTGCGTCATATATTTACGTATTAAATTGTTTTTAATCGCCAGTTTAGTTCATTACGCGTTTTATTCTGATTAAGCAACTAGGTCATACACGTTTTACCAATTATTTTGTACAATGACTGTCTTGCCTTGGCCAATGGACGTGCTGTAACCATAACCTTACCACAATTTAACTAAAACATAATTTGAGACACAACTCTCAGAAAACAGCGCATGTATATATACCTATATACGAGGAGCGTGGAAGGAAAGGTTTACTTTGTGCCATGTGTGTTTGATTACGTCATGTATATACAGTCAGGGTCTGTTTATCACTGCATGAAAATGTGGCCACCACGAGAAGATTCTGTCATGTTATTTTCTCCTTTTAGTATTTGACCTGTTACGACAAATATTCACTGACAATGTAGTTTTGTATTGGAAAATTGTTGCTTACTTGACTTCCATCTATAATTTTTCTACAGATTACACTGGACTGCAATTCAGACGAAATGCCACAAGTTGACAAGATGGTGGAGATGATCCAAGAGTGCACATGTAAGGCATGCCACGCAGAGCCAAGAAATTCCAAACCAATTGAAATCTAAAAAGCAAATTAATTAATCAAAAATCATTAAACCAGTCCATACGCGATGTAGTTATGGCGCTGTTATAGACTTTATTAGTGGAACTTACCGTTCCATTTGTTTTGTCATATAAAGTGAATTCCTCAGGGTTAACTTTCATTTAAAACGCCTTTCCCCTTTTGCTATGTAAAGTAAATTTATGACATGTGACTGAAAATACGCCCAATCTAAAACGTCCTTCGTAACGCTGATATGATATCGTGCATATTATGACATGTATGTACAGATACGCTTTATTATGATTATAGCGTATTCCGCCAGATTGAAAACAAAGTAAAAAATCACTACGCCTCCTGGGG